ATATATATATATATATATATATGCCTTTTGATTTTTTTAACTCAGAAAACTTTTATTATTTATTTCGCTTTCTGACTCTTCCTGTGCCCTCAACACTTTCACAATGACTTTCAGCTCCTCAATAAAGAAAGCGCGCTTGATCCTGTTAAGCACACATTTGGCAACGTGGAGCCACCATGGGCCCTGCTGACATGTCTTTTCGTTTTAGAGAACCTCATAAGAACTTTAGGTCTTGTCTCACAGCACAAGCTCCTTAAAGATGGACCGAGCACACTCCACAGGCAAATTCTGGTGATTTACTAACTTTCTTAGTATAAAGGTAAACAATTCCATTACCAGGGTTTTGGAACAGCCTAGTTTTGCTAGAGTCTGTGTTGTACGCCTATGACAGGTGTCAAATGCCAGACCATCCTGAATGCCCCTAGACACCATCCCCGGAAGACCAAAAAATATTTAAACTATGAGAATGTATAGTATGTATTTAAAAAATTGTATAAGAATACATGCACATAAACACTACATGTATTATAAAGGCATACACAAATATATATATTGCAAAGATACACAAATAAAAAGATCCAGAATAAACACACTGATGGATTGTCCAAAGCATAAGAGGAGTATGGGAGTGGGGAATTCCAATCAAAAAGGAATAAACGAATAAAAATAAGAAAGGATCCTAGACCAAACCAGTGATGAACATGGGCCACAAATTGTAGCTACAAAAGAAAAGAAACTGAATTCTAAAGAGATATCTCAATTTCTTCAGTACTTTTTGAGAGGAAAAATAGTTTCTGACAGTTTGCTGCTCTTTCATTTCCCAGAATATGAGGGAAAGTTTGAACAATGGCATAATTGGTCATACTTATATGGAAGGAGGTAAAATGACTTTTGAGTAAGTTTTTCACTCAACTTGTTCAACATCACAAAGAGAATAGGGCATTTTATTCCTTTAGTTGAATAAAGAATTAAAGGGAAGCATAAGTTAATAGAAGATGGGAAAGTACTAACTCATACATTATGAAAAGAATTATGGAATTGTGCTGGAGCTAGATACAAAAATGGCATTGAGGTAACAGAACACCAACCTGTCCTTTATCCATGTCACTATTTGCATTCTCTGAGTCCATTGTCTCTGTCCTTTTCCTTTTTCCTTTTCTAAGAGCTTGGGTATTCGTAATGTCATCTGTTTGCAAGATCTTCTGCATTTTCTCAAGTAGTTATCAAATATTTTCTGAAATTGTAGGAAGAGGGAGTGCCCATGTAGATGATGCTATTCTGGATGTAGCCCCAACATCAATGTTTTTCCTTAAAAACAAAAACAAAAAGGGATACATAATATATTTAGCAACTATATGTTTCATAATGGCACTAGCCACTCAAGTAGTACTTTTACTAAATGCTTCTTATCTTTCTCCCACTGACCAATTTATTACACATTTTCATTTGATTCAAAAGTCTTTCAATTTCATCATCATGAGGCTGTCATGTTTCCGTGATGTGACTGATATGCAGTGAGTTGTCACTTAGAAAATGAAATAGTTTAAGAAAAATTTCCATTTTTCCAAGTTTTTTCTTGTCAGTCAGTTATGAGGAGTCTAAAAACCAATGTAGAAACATTATAAATTTATGCAAACAGTATTTCACAGGATGAAGTTGTAAAAGGCATTAATAATAGCAGATTTCATCAAGATCAAAATATTCCAAAGGAAATCAATAAGAATTGCTTAAAGGTTTTTTCTTTTCCTGAAAACCTAGAGTTTTGAGGTGGAAGATTTTCCTTGGTGTAACTTTAAGAATTGTACCATAAAGAATGGAAGAAAAATATATCTCAAAGGCAAAAATACATTTCAAAAAAAAATTTGAGGGATAATCATTTTTTAAAACCTGATAAAGCAGATGATAATTCTTAGGTAGAACAGGGTTGAAATGTTCAAATTTAATTTTTGCTATACACAGATGATATGGTACATTTGGTCTTAGCATCCTTATTACTTGCATATATTGGTTTATTTCTATGAAAAGATATTTAATTATAAATAATAAAACTTTAACTACAGAAGGAAGTGAGCTAAAAGGGACTTCAAGAAATATGTACACTGTTGAGCAGAAGGTAATATATGCTCCTTACCAAATCACACTAAATAATCCTTTTATAATAAATATGGTACTTGTACCTACTTTAAGAGAAATTCATCATTCCCTACTCCAAGTGTGAAATAATATGTGGGATGGTCTTGCCAAAATTGCTTATTGTGACTCTTTGAAAACTTACTTTGTGTTTTCAAATATATGAAGAATACTTAAGCTCACACATGGGACTGGGCTATCATATCTGAGCCACAAATATCAGAGATCTTATCTAGCATCAAGCTTTATTAACAATTTCAATTATACAAGCAATCAAGAGGCACAGGTCAAGTAGGGTGCACTCTAGGGCATTTTGTTGGCTTTGTAGGTCCTCTCTTTTCAGATCACATAGGTACTCTGTGGTCTAGAATAAGTGAGGCCTCTACATGAGGTTTGAGGGTCATCTCACACAGTGAGGAGTGTTTAGGTTGTGACACATCACCATTTTATAACCTCAGAGTTCTATACCTCGCGTGACCTTTTCCAGGAAGTTATAAAGCCATAGATTCTAGGTATGTTTGCCATAAGCAATCCTAAATCAAGGATATACAATTAAGAGCATTCCATAGATAAAAATTCCACTGCTAGCAAATATCATTAAACCATTTACCAGGAGCAAGTTTGACAAATATTTTCTGTTAAAGGGGTCATATAGTTTAGGTTTTGCAGGTCAAGAGGCAAAATCGAGGATATTATGTAGTTCTTATATAGCAAAAGAAAAATAAATTTTCACAAAATTTTTATTCACAAAATTGAAAATATACTAATGATAATTGAATACAACTTTTTGTATGACAATTCTAATGAGAATAGAACTTTTAAAACTAAGATCTTGTTTAATTGGGGTTCAAAGTTTTCCTTACCATCAAAATCATTTGCAGGTGTTCATTGTTAATGCTGACCTGCAATGAGATTTTATAAATTCCAGATCTGAAAATGTCTTTTACACCAATAGTTGCTGTCATATGCTGATATTAATCCATGAGTTTGTAATTTTCTTAATTGAGGTAAAATTCACTATTTTAATCATTTCAATTGTATGTTCACTGGTTTTTTAGTATATTCACAATATTGCACAATTATGCTAGGAAAGATAGGATTCGGTAGGCAGAGAGGGAAAGGTTACAACCTGAGGTCCCTGAGTGGGGAAAAACACATTTTAAAACATTTCTTCTGGGAATGTCTGACCTCAAGCAAATTCCCTCAGCTGTAAGGTTCCTCTTAAGAATGTAACAGATACCACCAACTCCCCCTTCAGGTTCCCCTAAGGAATTTGACAATGACAATACCTAACTAAAGGGCTCCTGGGTGGCTCAGTCAGTTAAGCATCCAACTCTTGATTTCGGCTCAGGTCATGATCTCACAGTTCAATGGGTTTGAGCCCTGCATTAGGCTCTCTTCTGACAGTATGGAGCCTCCTTGGCATTCTCTCTCCATCTCTCTGTTTGGGATGCTCTCTCTCTTCTCTTTCTGCCCCTCACCTGCTCCCTTGTGCACTCCTTCTCTCTCTCAAAAATAAATAAACAAAATACCTAATACAAAATGCCTAAATAAACCATAAAACGTATGTTATATGAAGGATGGTATAACCATAATCTGACTCCTCACACAATGAAGTCGAGCCAATCAGGAATGAACAACCCACCACCTAGTTATCATGCCATTAAGGGTAGAACCTGAAAAGGAACAAGGGAGAAAGAAAAAGGGAGGTGACCAAAACCTTATAAAACAAGGGACCTATAGTAGGCAAGGGACTATAGTGGGAGGGTATTCACTTTCAAATGTCCCCTCTCTGCAAAGAGAGCTTTCATAATATTCTTATTTATACTTATATAGGTAAGATATTCTTAGTTAGGATGTTCTTAATCTTATACTCTAATAAACTTTTGCCTGCTGTTCATTTTATTTTGTGTCTACTTCTTCATTCTTCGAAGCAGCAAGAAAACAAATCCCGGGTATTGAGTTAAAAAAAATCATGTAACACAATCATCCCCAAGATAGTTCATACCTCCCAATATAAGCAAATAATTTTAATTGAGGATATTCATCTCCTAGTAGACTTTAAAAAAAAATTTTTTTTAATGTTTATTTATTTCTGAGACAGAGAGAGACAGAGCGTGAGTGGAGGAGGGGCAGAGAGAGAGGGAGACACGGAATCTGAAGCAGGCTCCAGGCTCCCAGCTGTCTGCACAGTGCCCGATGCGGGGCTTGAACTCATGAACTGTGAGATCATGACCTGAGCCGAAGTTGGTCACTCAACCGACTGAGCCACCCAGATGCCCCTCCTAGTAGACTTTTATAGAATTCTACTAAATTCTTTTGATATTTGCCTTTAGTGTGTGACTCCATTGCAACAATTAATTACTTCCAATTAAAGGTTAGGTGGAAGCTCCTCGTTGCACAGTTAAATGTATTTTGAAATAGGTTTTTGCATTTCTTTGCATTTTCTTTGCATTCATTGAAGTCTGAGACACAATACTGGAACTGTAATTTGAACTGGAAAATTACATCTTGTGTAAATCTGAATGGGGATGAAGATCTCAATACTTGTTTTAACTTATGGCAGCAGGGGAAGTGTATAAAGTAGCTGGAGACATTATGTATGAGTGACATATTTGTTGTTATTGAAATGAATTTACCTGAGTGTAAGTTTTGCATGTAAGTACATGTTTTGTCTTACAATTTTGTCTTGTAGTTTATTAACAAATTCATTAAGAAACATTAAGTCTGCAGCAAAAGCTAATTTCCATTAGCCATTCAGGATTCCAAAATCCATTCAGCCTTCCATAGGAGTGGTTGAGGGCAGTTCTCATTCACAAAAAATTTCAGTCTTGGCCCTGAATTCAAACATTTGCAGTGAAACTTCACCATTGCTAAGGTTACTGAAATGCTGTACAGCAGGGCAAGTTAGAATATTCAACTTCTACTTCTGAAAAAACTCATGGAACTGATGATGGCCAAGTCCACAAGAATGAAATTCACCATTGACACTATTGGTTCAATAATGATAATGATATTTTCAGAAATTGCAAAATGATCTTAAAATTATAAGAAAATGCAAGAGATTGGGAACGGCAAAACAATCTTGAAAAAGAAGAAACTTGAAATATGCTCACTTTCCAATCATAAATCTTACTACAAAGCTACAGTAATCAAGACAGTGTGGTACTGGGGCACCTGAGTGGCTCAGTCGGTTGAGCATCCATCTGACTCTTGGTTTCAGCTCAGGTCATAATCTCACAGTTTCATGGTTTGAGCATTGGGTCAGGCTCCACGCTGACAGTGTGGAGCCTGCTTGGGATTCTCTGTCTCCCTCTCTCTCTGACCCTCCCCTATTCATGCCGTCTCTTTCTTAAAGTAAATAAATCAACTTAAAAAAAAAAGTGTGGTACTGGCATAAGGATGGACATATAAATCATTAGAGTAGAATTGAGAATCCTGAAATAAACCTTTTACATCTATGGTCAATTGATTTTTTTTTTTAATTTTTTTTTCAACGTTTTTATTTATTTTTGGGACAGAGAGAGACAGAACATGAATGGGGGAGGGGCAGAGAGAGAGGGAGACACAGAATCGGAAACAGGCTCCAGGCTCTGAGCCATCAGCCCAGAGCCTGACGCGGGGCTCGAACTCATGGAGCGCGAGATCGTGACCTGGCTGAAGTCGGACGCTTAACCGACTGCGCCACCCAGGCGCCCCTGGTCAATTGATTTTTGACAAGGAGGCAAAGACAATTAAATGTGGAAAGAAGAGTCTTTGCAACAAAAGGTACTGGAACAACTAAAAATTCATATGCAAAAGAGCGCATCTTACCTCACACAATACACACAAATTAATTCAAAATTTACATTTAGATCATAGACCTAAAAGTAAGAACTAAAACTATAAACTCTTAGTAGCAAACACAGGAGTAAATTTTGTGATCTTGGGTTAACCAATGATTTTATAAATATGACAACAAAACCATTATCTTCACCATCTTGATGAGACCATCAAGAAAGTAAAAAAGGCAACCCATGCAATGGAAGAAAATATTTGAAAATAGATCTCATAAGGGGCTTGTATACAGGATACATAA